TGCAAAAGGTCAACAACCTCTACCCACCCACAAGGACAGGGGATCACCACACACAAAAGACCAGCTAATGACACCCATCAACCACAGGAACAGATAATCTCTTTCCCTTAGCACAACAATACACCCACAACAATACACACTAATCACCCATCTACAGAAAAAGACAAAAGCCTATCTCACAGCCATAAATACTGGCACTCCCAAGCCAACTACACCAGAGCACAGGCTGCTGTCCTCTGAAGATGGCAGCCACAGAGACTGGCGAAATATCAGGAAGAACAACCTACAGAACACGGCCAAAGAGCCCGAAAAACCCACAACAACTATTAGATCCCGTCTGTGAAAGCCTTCGCGAATACACAGCCATATTGATTATCTAACTCCAAAATCCAGAATATATCTTAGGGTCATAAAGCCAAAGGGTAGCTAAACCAACAGGACACCCACTGAAGCTATACTGAATCCAAAGGATATCCAGTCTAGAGATGCTGGACTGCCCCCTCCATAGCCAAAATTTTCTTCCAGTGTTGTGGTTACATCCTTGAATTCTTGGAGTTTTGTATGTGAAGTAACTCCCCCTCCCCTGTTCTCTTCTGCCTTCTTTTTTCCTTTTTTCCCCCTTTCCCCCCTTTTTTCCCCTTTTTGGCTCTTCTGCCAACAGATCTTAGCCAGGATAACAGATCAGTTGACAAAGCTCTTCTGATGACCTCTGGAACCATCTAGCAGAAGAGAGTTAAACCAACAGAAAGATGTGTTTGTGGGCAGACATCTTTGCATTAGGCCTATTTTTTTAAAGACAATTCCTTTAGAAAAGATCAGCTCTGTAGGTGTACTTCTGCATAACACAGATGTAACCAAAACAGATGCATTAGCAACTCTTTCTTTAATACGACTATGATTTTTAACCTCTTTGAGATTTTTTTTTAAAAAAGAAGCACAGTGTACAAATTGTATTCAATAAATAATTTAATTTGGATGATTAATCAGTCAGATTAATGTTTTAACTGAAGCTTGCCATTTATTCAAGGCAACCCTTTGCTCCTCCTTCTTTTTCAGGAAACCATTTTTTTTTACTCTGTCCTGATTTTCATTTCTGCAAAAATGGTGTTGTAGGAACTATAAATGAGCAAAAAACAACTTGCTGATACACAAAAAAGGGTCTGATGTAAAAACTACAGTAGTGTCATATACTAATAATGCACAATTTAAAAACAAAACATGAACTAAAGGCTGATTTACAGACATCATAGTTCCTAGCAACCCCCCCTTTTTTTTGAAGCTACAGCTACCATGCTATAGACAAATATGCCCAATCTATCCTTTTCTGTCAAGGACTTAGTGAGTCTGGTTGCAAAAACACTTTTAAGTGCTGGGAAAATCCGTTGCTCTTAGGTTAAAATCAACAATGGTTTTGTGAATGTTCTCAAAACAGATGGGGATAACTCAGTGGTTTAGATTTCTGGCTGTGGAGCCAGAGCCAGGAGTTCAATTCCCCACTGTGCGTCCTGTGAGTAGAGCCAGCTTGTGTGGCCTTGGGCAAGCTGCACAGTCCCAGGACACCCCCAGAAGAAGAGTACAGTGGACCCTCGACTTACAGATGGCTCGACTTACAGACTTTTTGAGTTACAGACTTCTCTGGCCGCAAAATTTAGGTTCGACTTGCAGCCGGAGAATCGACCTACAGACCAGAAAAAAAACAAAATGGAACAAAAATTGAACAAAAACGGCTGGTTATGGGATTAATCGGGTTTCAATGCATTGTAGGTCAATGGAGACTCGACCTACAGTTTTCAACCTGCAGCCACTGTTCCAATACGGATTAATTCCATAAGTAGAGGGTCCACTGTATGGTAAATCACTTCTGAGTAGTCTTCACCTGGAAAATCTTGAAAAGAGGTCACTATAACTCAGAATTGACTTGATAGGCACATGATTATTATTCAACTCCAAGCTTATTCCCATTTAGAACAGACACCTATTGAAATCAGTAGAGCTTGACATGGGCCCCATTGATTATGAGAACTGAATACTGTATAGTGCATTTTATGCATTTATTTTAAAGAGCAATTATTTCCTCGTATAAGTGAACAGTGCTGGCTAGAGATTCTAGGCGTGGTCATCAAAAAACCCACAATTTATCCCAGCTATGGTCTACTTCGACTAGGAATGAACAGTACTTAGTACCCCATAGTTTGATATTTGACTGATGACCACACATCTGAATGCTTACAATGCAGGAAAGTGTATGATTCTTAGCTTCTGCAATTTTACCTCTACATATACCCACCTTGTATAGGGAAGAGGCCTCCATGCCAGGCTGCCAGCACCCTTTCAGAGGGATTTAGGGAAATGCTACACAAGGTGCATACCGAAGATCACTTAGAGGGGATTAGTATAATGTGGGGCCTTGTCTCATCCCCATGTGCCTCCGTACAGGAAAATGGTTCCTCAGTGCAGTTTTGAATGCTCAAGTAAGCAGTTAACCAAACACTGCAACAAATGTGGAAATATACCAACATGATAATACTGGGAGCCCTACTCAATTAGTTTAATGAATTATATATATTTCATTGAATATGCAATGCTTCTGGTGCACAGGGTATGTTTCATTGATTTTTAGATGATGCCCCACACAATATGCAATGCTTCTGGTGCACAGGGTATGCTTCATTGGTTTTTAAATGATGCCCCACACATATTTTAGAGGGCAGACCCTGATGAAGAGGCATCCTATGTCCCGTTTGGGAAAGTTTCTTAATCTGATGCTTACCAGCAAAGAGTTTGGTACTTAAAAGAAAAAAAAATTAAATCATGACATCAATGTTTTTAAAAATCCTGATGCCTGATGCCTGTTTCTAGTTTTTATTTTTAATGGTGCTTGACTGAAGTCCATCAAAACGCTTCTTGACTTGAGTAATCTACCTAATGAACAGGCCTAATTGCAATTACAAGTGCTACTGCAAAGCTGCTCTTATACCAATGCATAAAGCATTAAACGGCAATGTATATGCGTGAAAATACCAGGGCACAACCGTCTTATTGACTTTGAATGACCAAGGTTAACCGTCTCCTCTCTAAAGATAAGTGTATCCTTCCATAATGACATGTTTGTGACGGACAACACATTTTCTTGCAACGCGGGTGTTCAACGTAGGGCTCGCGTCTTCAAACTGGCAGCTTCACACGCAGCATTCTTCTGCATTGTCTCTCGCCTAAGCAACATTCACACGTAACGGCAAACGCGCTCAAGAGGCTCAAAGCGGCCATTTAGAGAATCAGATCTGAAACTTCGCACCGCGCTCCGAGCACTTGGGGGATTTGGGGAGGGGGGGGGAGTCCCTGCCACCGTCTGGATGAGGAAACGAAGCTAATAATGAAATGTGTCTCCTCTTTTCTGTCCACCCGCACATTCTCCACCACCATTGTTCAACGCATTCTGATGTGCGTGTAGTTTTTTCCATGCCCTAACCCGTGTCGTCGATCATGAGAGCGAAAGAAACTGGGGTGCATGGGTGTGCAGCCTGCGGAATAAAATCGCTCAAGGCTCTCATCCAGAGTAAAAGGTGTTGGGAGGAGAAGGGCCGGACTATTCCCCTTTTCCGACGTTCTGCACCATAAGACGCGTGCTCAGCTCTCGCTCTCTCTGGTCAGGTCTGGCTTCTGCACCCGCTTTTCTCCTCTTAAGGTGGCGCTGACGGATGGCTCCTCCTCAGCCGGCCGCCCGCTTGCCTTTCCTCCGCCAGGGTGGCCTTAAACGCAGTCCCCCTCGCCGCCTTCCACCCGGGGCCGCACGCTTGCTTGAGCGGCGCTCGGCGGCACCGCTTTAAGGAGGCTCCGGCAGCCGGCTTCGC